GGGACGCACAGACGCGACGTGATTTCGGCCATCTCCAAACCGCCGATGCTACTGACAATGTTGGATGACTGGCTGATGGATGGGGCCGCGGCCGAGGCGCCAGCCAGGGCCCCGGCAATGGCTGCATGCCCGCCAATCAGCGGCTCGATGTACATGCGGAAGTCCGGGGCAAAGTACTCCCGGCCGGCGGCCACCAGTGGCAGGGCCGAGCCAATTTGCAATGGCCTCCCGGCCGCCCGGGCTGACAAGCACACTTGCATCTTGACCCCGGCCGCCGAGGAGGCCATCCCACCGCCAAGTAGCAGCACGGGCAGGCCAAAATCGAGAACCGTATCCAAGATCCGCGAGTAGCCTAACGGAGGTGACCAAGCACATAGCAACCAGGTGAGGACAGAGTGGGCAAGGCAAGGCGAGGACAGGCATGCCCGAACCGAGGAAACACCTCACGCACCCTGCAAGGTCAGGCCGAAGGTGCCAAACCGGTCGCCAGCCAGGGCGCCGGTGGAACACCGGAAGACAATGGCGCTCGGCTGGTAGGCATCCACCGTCCGTCGGACGGACTGCGCAGCAAGTCGGGGGCGGGCGGGGGGATCCAGGGCACCTGCGTCAAAAACAACCTCGCACACGGGAGGGGGGGGGGGGAGGCAGGACTCCCGAGGTCAAAGGCAACCGCATCCAGCCAGGCACATACCTCGGTAAACAGCCTCGCGGCATATGAGTCGTCAATCCCATCCCAGAGGGGAATGTTAATGGCATGGCCGCGCCCGGGGCCCGGGGCGCCGGTGTCTCCCGGGGCCCCGGTCCCGGGGAAGATCGGCCCGAAGGCTGTATTGTGGAGCACCGCCGCAGCAATGGCGCTGGCTCCGGCGGCATTGACGCTGGACAGGGTCGCCGGTGTGGTGGAGGCTGCGGTCGAACCGCCGCCGGCGGCCGCCTTCCGGCCATGACCAGCCCCACCAGCTCGCGTGGCACCTGCCCGGGCACCGGCAGTGCCGGGCTTGGGAGTCGCGCTGTTGACGATGTCCGCGGAGAAGGTCGGCGCCGGGGACACCGACGGGTCACAGTACCGGTGGAAGGACATGGTCAGCACACGGTCCGTCGTGTAGAAGGCCGATTCGACCGCGTCCGCGTGGAAGGAGTCCAGGTTGATGAAGAGAACACGCTGGTGCTTGCGCAGGAGCTCCAGGATGGCCAGCACCACGTCATTGATGAACGACCCGCCGGAGGCATTGGCCGGATTCGCGTGCGGAAAGCCCCCCAGCCAGTTGATGGCGACGTCCGCCTCGCCAGCATTGAGGGCCCGCGCCCCGGCCAGCGACCCCCCGGCGTAGATCGAACAAAAGGTGTCCATCCCGTCGAAGGGCGGACAATCGCCATCGGGCACAATGCCAAAGGCCGCACACACATTGGCCACATCGCGACTCCGTCGCAAGGACGCCATGGATCCGGTGCTGTCGGCCATGGCGGCCGCCGCGGCCAAGGCAATCGATGACACATAGTCATCGGTGTGGAAGCGCGTCAGGTCGGCGAAGGCCGCCCGGTTGTAAGAGCCCTGTAGGGGGGGGGGGGGACAAAAAGGGCAGCGGAAAGAGGATGGAGGACGCGTGAGTCGAGGAGAGGGCAATTGGCCGAGAGCGATGGGCGGGTCGGTGAAAACGCACACAAAGGATGAACTCGCGCAGGAGGCTGTACTGCACGAGGAGCTGGTGGGTGAGGCGGGCCCGGAAGGGCTGAATAGGATGCCCACGGCCGAAGGAGTGACAGGCATATTCATCTGTGTGCGTGTCAGGGGGGGGGGAGAGAGAGAAGGAGGAGGAAGAAGAGAGGACCACAACCCGAGCATCCCAAGGGGAATACGAGAGATCCGTCAGCCAATGGCGCATCATCCAGATGGGGCGGGGAGAATGGCCACCAATGAAAGGAGCTGCCCGGCCAGAGCCCGGGGGGAGGGCAGAATGTGCGCACCGTCGAAAAAGTACCACACCCGGCGGCCGACCGCGACCGAGGTACGCTGGCCGACTAGCAAGGCCCGCGCATGCTCGGTGTTCCATGGACTGGCCACGGTCAATGTCGATGCCAGAGTCGGCGACCGAATCGGGGCTGGCAGAGGCGTCGACGGCGGTGGCCCCGATCGGGCAAGGGTGCTCGAAGAGGAGGACGCCGAGGAGCTGGCCGAGGAGCCGGTCGAGGATCCATGCTCCGCAGGGGTGGCCTTGGCATGGGACGGCTTGCCTCCAGCCGCGGCGGAGCCAGCCAACTGGCTGGATGTCCCGGGTGAGGCCTTTCCTGGCGCGGCCGTCGGGCCGACCGCCGTGGCCAGGGACAGCACCGGCTTCCGCTCGCTAGCGGAGGCCTTCATGGCGTGCGCTCGGCAGAGGGGGGAGAGAAGAGCGAAGGTGTAGGAAGGAGGGAGGAGACCAAAAGGGGGGGGGGGCGAGAGGGAGGCCGAGGGGAGGAAGGGGCAGTGGAGAAGATGTTTAGGCGCTGGGAGGGGGCTTGTACCGAGCAGGGAGTCGCACAAAAGGGCCAACGTGCGCGTCCCGACGGCACGGGCAGCGGGTAAGAACGTCCAGTATTCCCCCCCCCCCCCCCCCCGGACAAGGGCCAATCTAGCTCCCCTGCGGCTGGCGGTTGTCACCTTCAAGCCCGGCCGACCTCCACGCCTGCCCCACACACAGGCCGCCGGGTCCTCCCCGCTCGGAACAGCTGGCCGGTGGGGGGGGGGGGGGACACGGCTGGGCACCGGCCGGCGGGACCATCGACGGCGGGAAAGATCGTGCATCGTCGTGTGACCTATAATGAGCATGTGATCCCAAACGCTAACGGCCTGCCGCCGCCAGAAAAATGGCGCGAAGGCTCTGGGAACTGTGGAGGGGTGGCACGAAAAATGCGGGACGCGAGATTGAGAAAACAATACGCGCCCGGCGGGGGAGAGAAAGAGCCCCTCGACGTTGGCCTGTTCCTGCTCACCGCCGTTATTATGTGGCCGCCCTCTCCCGCCCCTGCCGGGGTCCCTGCCCATTGTCCCCTCCTGTCTTTGGAACATTCCATCCCCCTACCACCGGGCACAGGAGCCGGGCACAGACCACCGGAACAGGAGTCTCCCCGCTCCAGGGCCAGGGATGGGGGGAAAGGGCGGCATACGACCAAGCGCGGCGCGCCTGTCGGGGGTCTCTCTCTCCCTTTCCCTCTCTCTCTGTGTGTGTGTGTGTGTGTGTGTGTGTGTGTGCGTAGCGCGCGGGCGAAGGGGTCGGAGAAGGGCACACACGGCGCCGGTAGAAAGGAAAGCTGACCAGAGCTTCAAGGGAGTTTTTATTTGGATGCGGGAGGAGACACACGCGTGGAGAGGGGGGGCACGGACAGATAAAGACATGGAGAGAGGAAAAAGCACACAAGGGGAGGGGGAGGGGGGCGGCGCGGCGGAGGAGCAGGCGGGCTGGCCCGATACCACCACCACCACATATCCGCCTCTTGTCAGTGCGCGTCCATCTCTCTTGCCCGAGACAGAACACCTGAGAGCGGCAGCGCCAGCGAGAGCACTCCTGCTGGCTCACTCGCACGCACGCATACACATGGTGGACCTTCTTACTGCTTGTTGAAGTAGCGGTTGATGTCGATCTTGGTGGCACCGTTGGCGGAGACGAAGCCGATGGCGGTCTCGAGGACAGAGCCGACAACGGTACGCTTGATGGTGATGGTGCCGACGTCGTTGGTGGACTCAACGATCAGGGTGGCACCCTCGTAGCGAGCGGTGTACTTGGCGGGGTTGCCGCTCAGGTCGTCCAGGGTGACGGGCTCGGCACCAATGGGAATGGTGGTGGTGTTGTCAGCCATGGTGGTCTTGGTGACGATGGTGACGGACTCCTCGGTGGCGGTGATGACCAGGGTCTGGCTGAGGGCGGCAATGGCCTGAGTTTTCGCCAGACGAGAGGGGGAGGGGGGGGGGGGCAGGAAGGAGCAGAGTCAGCACACAGGAAGGGGGCCGGGGGCGGGGGGACAGAAGCAGCGCGAGTAACTCGACAGCCAAGTCGGGCAGAGAAAGGGGCGAAAGAGTGCCAGGGGCGGCACCACAGGCAGCGTGTGGGCGGACCTTGCGCTTGATCCAGCCGACGCCGACGGCCTCGAGGAAGGCCTCCATGTTGTCGGACTTGTCGGAGTCGAGGACGAAGGTGCCGTTGAGATCCTGGAAAGACATGATGAAAGTGTGTTGAAGAGGGGGGAACAAAGAAGGAGAATCCAAAAATGTATCTGCCCCAGCGCTGGACGCCCGGACTCCTGACTGGGTCCACTTAAGCGGGTATAAATAGTGGTCTTCGCCCTGGCGGACGCGACCATCCCCAGGAGGGGGGGGGGGCGGGGGGGAATTGGCCTGGGAGGCTGTGCCCGGAAGCCAGCGGGGCGCACGCCGGACACGGGAACCCTGTCCACTCACAGTCGGGGGAAACACCAGCGCGACCGCCGCCCTCTCAGACTGGCCTCTCCTGCCTTCAGGGGAGATGTCCCGAAGTACGTGTCATCGCTCGGCTGTCCCCGCCCCCCCC